CTAACATACTAGCACACTCACTCCGTGTATTCCCCTTACCCCCTCCCTCTCTCCCGGAGTCCCTCTCACATCCTAGTACACTCCGTGTTTTCCCTTTACCCTCTCTCACTCCCGGAGTCCCTCTCACACCCTAGCACACTCCGTGTATTCCCTTTACCCTCTCTCATTCCAGAGTTAGCACACTCCGTGTATTCCCCTTACCCCTCTCACATCCTAGTACACTCTGTGTATTCCCCTTACACCCTTTCTCACTCCCGGAGTCCCTCGCACATCCTAGCACACTCCGTGTATTTCCCTTACCCTCTCCCTCACTCCATGAGACCCTCTAACATCCTAGCACATGAGACCCTCTAACATCCTAGCACATGAGACCCTCTAACATCCTAGCACATGAGACCCTCTAACATCCTAGTACAGTCCGTGTTTTCCCTTTCCCCTCTCTCCCTCCGGAGTTCCTCTCACATCCTAGCACACTCCATGTATTCCCGTTTCCCCCTCCCTCACTCTCTCATTCCAGAGTCCCTCTCACATCCTAGTACACTCCGTGTATTCCCCTTACACCCTCTCTCTCACTCCCGGAGTTCCTCTCACATCCTAGTACAGTCCGTGTTTTCCCTTTACCCTCTCTCTCACTCCCGAAGTTCCTCTCACATCCTAGCACACTCCGTGTATTCCCCTTACCCTCTCTCACTCCCTGAGTTCCTTTCACATCCTAGTACAGTCCGTGTATTCCCCTTACACTCTCTCTCACTCCCAGAGTTCCTCTAACATACTAGCACACTCCGTGTATTCCCCTTACCCTCTCTCTCACTCCCGGAGTCTCTCTCACATCCTAGCACACTCCGTGTATTCCCATTTTCCCCTCTCTCACTCCCGGAGTCCCTCTCACATCCTAGCACACTCCATGTATTCCCGTTTCCCCCTCCCTCACTCCCGGACTCCTTCTCACATCCTAGCACACTCCATGTATTCCCATTTCCCCCTTTCTCACTCCCGGAGTCCCTCTCACACCCTAGCACACTCCATGTATTCCCATTTGCCCGTCTCTCACTCCCGGACTCCTTCTAACATCCTAGCACACTCAGTGTATTCCCCTTCCCCCCTCTCACTCCCTGAGACCCTCTAACATCCTAGCACACTCCGTGTATTCCCCTTACACCCTCTCTCTCACCCCCGGAGGCCCTCTCACATCCTAGCACACTCCGTGTATTCCTCTTTTCCTCTCTCTCACTCCCGGAGTCCCTCTCACATCCTAGTACACTCCGTGTATTCCCCTTACCCCCTCTCTCTCACTCCCGGAGGCCCTCTCACATCCTAGCACACTCCGTGTATTCCTCTTTTCCTCTCTCTCACTCCCGGAGTCCCTCTAACATCCTAGCACACTCCGTGTATTCCCCTTTGCCCCTCTCTCACTCCCGGAGTCCCTCTCACATCCTAGCACATTCTGTGTATTCACCTTACCCCATCTCTCCCTCCCAGAGTCCCTCTCACATACTAGCACACTCCGTGTATTCCCCTTTTCCTCTCTCTCACTCCCGGAGTCCCTCTCACATCCTAGCACACTCCGTGAATTCCCCTTACCCTCTCTCTCACTCCCGGAGTCCCTCTCACATCCTAGCACATTCTGTGTATTCACCTTACCCCATCTCTCACTCCCAGAGTTCCTCTAACATACTAGCACACTCCGTGTATTCCCCTTACCCTCTCCCTCACTCCCGAAGTCCCTCTCACATCCTAGCACATTCCGTGTATTCACCTTACCCCATCTCTCACTCCCAGAGTCCCTCTCACATACTAGCACACTCCGTGTATTCCCCTTACCCTCTCTCACTCTCGGAGTTCCTCTAACATCCTTGTACAGTCCGTGTTTTCCTCTTACAACCTCTCTCTCACTCCCGGAGTTCATCTAACATCCTAGCACACTCCGTGAATTCCCCTTACCCTCTCCCTCACTCCCTGAGACCCTCTCACATCCTAGTACAGTCCGTGTTTTCCCCTTACCCTCTCTCACTCCCGGAGTCCCTCTCACATCCTAGCACACTCCGTGTATTCCCCTTACCCTCTCTCACTCCCGGAGTCCCTCTCACATCCTAGCACACTCCGTGTATTCACCTTACCCTCTCTCACTCCCGGAGTCCCTCTCACATCCTAGTACACTCCGTGTATTCCCCTTACACCCTCTCTCACTCCCAGAGTCCCTCTAACATACTAGCACACTCCGTGTATTCCCTTTACCCTCTCTCATTCCAGAGTCCCTCTCACATCCTAGTACACTCTGTGTATTCCCCTTACACCCTTTCTCACTCCCGGAGTCCCTCTCACATCCTAGCACACTCCGTGTATTCCCCTTACCCTCTCTCTCACTCCCGGAGTTCCTCTCACATCCTAGCACACTCCGTGTATTCCCCTTACCCTCTCTCACTCCCTGAGTCCCTCTCACATCCTAGCACAGTCCGTGTTTTCCCCTTACCCTCTCTCACTCCCGGAGGCCCTCTCACATCCTAGCACAGTCCGTGTTTTCCCCTTACCATCTCTCACTCCCGGAGTCCCTCTCACATCCTAGTACAGTCCGTGTTTTCCCCCTACCCTCTCTCACTCCCGGAGTCCCTATCACATCCTAGCTCTCTCACTCCCGGAGTTCTTCTAACATACTAGCACACTCCGTGTATTCCCCTTACCCTCTCCCTCACTCCCTGAGACCCGCTCACATCCTAGTACAGTCCGTGTTTTCCCCTTCCCCTCTCTCACTCCCGGAGTCCCTCTCACATCCTAGTACAGTCCGTGTTTTCCCCCTTCCCTCTCTCACTCCCGGAGTCCCTCTCACATCCTAGTACAGTCCGTGTTTTCCCCTTCCCCTCTCTCACTCCCGGAGTCCCTCTCACATCCTAGCACAGTCCGTGTATTCCCCTTACCCTCTCTCACTCCCTGAGACCCTCTAACATCATAGGACAGTCCGTGTTTTCCCCTTACCCTCTCTCTCACTCCCGGAGTCTCTCTCACATCCTAGCACACTCCGTGTATTCACCTTACCCTCTCTCACTCCCGGAGTTCCTCTCTCATCCTAGTACAGTCCGTGTTTTCCCCCTTCCCTCTCTCACTCCCGGAGTCCCTCTCACATCCTAGCACACTCCGTGTTTTCCCCCTACCCTCTCTCACTCCCGGAGTCCCTCTCACATCCTAGCACAGTCCGTGTATTCCCCTTACCCTCTCTCACTATATGTAGAGAAGGACTGTATATAGAGAAGGTCTCGTTTGTATCTAATATTTAAAACTAGTAACCAAACAGACATGTTGTTATCTCTGTCAGATAAACAAAAACCAAAAGAGTTTGATTTCTGTAGGTTTCCAATAAAATAAATGTTCAAAAGCTGTATGCTTTATGACACAGACGTGTTTGAGCTATATGAAGCGCTCCAGGGAGATGTTTAACTCGGTCTGAAGCTCCGTATCTACATGTCATACCAATCAGCATTACAGTGACCTAGAACAAGTCTGAAGCTCCGTGTATACACGTCATACCAATCAGCATTACAGTGACCTGGAACAAGTCTGAAGCTCCGTATCTAAATGTCATACCAATCAGCACTACAGTGGCCTAGAACAAGGTCTGAAGCTCCGTATCTACATATCATACCAATCAGCACTACAGTGGCCTAGAACAAGGTCTGAAGCTCCGTATCTACATATCATACCAATCAGCACTACAGTGGCCTAGAACAAGGTCTGAAGCTCCGTATCTACATATCATACCAATCAGCACTACAGTGGCCTAGAACAAGTCTGAAGCTCCGTACCTACACGTCATACCAATCAGCATTACAGTGACCTAGAACAAGTCTGAAGCTCCGTATCTAAATGTCATACCAATCAACACTACAGTGGCCTAGAACAAGTCTGAAGCTCCGTATCTACACGTCATACCAATCAGCATTACAGTGACCTAGAACAAGTCTGAAGCTCCGTATCTACATGTCATACCAATCAGCACTACAGTGGCCTAGAACAAGTCTGAAGCTCCGTACATACACGTCATACCAATCAGCATAACAGTGACCTAGAACAAGTCTGAAGCTCCGTATCTACATGTCATACAAATCAGCACTACAGTGGCCTAGACGTCATACCAATCAGCACTACAATGGCCTACATGTCATACCAATCAGCACTACAGTGGCATACATGTCATACAAATCAGCACTACAGTGGCATACATGTCATACCAATAAGCACTACAGTGGCATACATGTCATACCAATCAGCACTACAGTGGCATACATGTCATACCAATAAGCACTACAGTGGCATACATGTCATACCAATCAGCACTACAGTGGCATACATGTCATACCAATCAGCACTACAGTGGCCTAGAACAAGTCTGAAGCTCCGTATCTACATGTCATACCAATCAGCACTACAGTGGCCTAGACGTCATACCAATCAGCACTACAATGGCCTACATGTCATACCAATCAGCACTACAGTGGCATACATGTCATACCAATCAGCACTACAGTGGCATACATGTCATACCAATCAGCACTACAGTGGCCTAGAACAAGTGGTACAAACTGCCTACTTAATATGTACGTGCTGGAAAACGACGCATGTGGGTTTGTCATTTCAGATTCATTTATTCCTTATAAAGATGAAGTGCCACTATGTACAAAGCATACTAATGCTTAGCAGTGTCGGATATACATGTATTGGTTAATAGTTCGTAAAGGAGAAGAATGAGTTGAAAGTTTTTGTCTTTTGGTGTGAGCCGTGTTCATTCAAATTAAAAAAAGAAGTATGTAAAATGCTGACAACAAATGTAATAGTCAGCGTGGCAATTCTTTACCCCGGAATACAAACTCACACAAAAGATGATTTTTTTTCTCTCCAACTATTCAAATATCTGTTTCCCTTTTTCACTGCACCGTCGCCCAATGGCCTTTTATTGACCCAAACATGTAGGTTTCCATGACAATCGGATAGGAAATGAAGTCTGTAGGGCGATGGCGGGAACAGGTAGGGGACACGGGGTCGTGGACAAGGAGTCACGGGGTCACGGTGTCGGGGACACGGGGTCACGATGTCGGGGACACGGTGTCACGGGGTCGGGGACACGGGGTCACGGTGTCGGGGACACGGGGTCACGGGGTCTGGGACACGGGGTCACGGGTTCGTGGACAAGGAGTCAAGGGGTCACGGTGTCGGGGACACGGGGTCACGATGTCGGGGACACGATGTCACGGGGTCGGGGACAAGGGGTCACGGTGTCTGGGACACGGGGTCACGGGTTCGTGGACAAGGAGACACGGGGTCGTGGATAAGTAGACACGGGGTTGTGGACATGGAGTCACGGTGTCGGGGACATGGGGTCACGCGGTCGGGACAAGGGATCACGTGATCGAGAGATTACAAGTAATGATCAATGTAGGCCTCTGTACTGGCATGATTAGGCAGTACGTATTATATTTTCAGTTAGAAACTTAACTGAATGCTGGCCAATTTTCGTTCAATAATCACCTTATTTTTTAAATTTAGACTGTTGATTCAATATTATCAATTTGACAAAATATCAATAATTGATGATACCCCACTCCCCGACCCCTGTCTAGTGTGTAGCTACTGTTGTGACAGAGAGCCTCCAGCACGCTCCAGTTTGCCTGTCTGCTGTATAGGTGTCACACCTGTAAATATTTTAGATCGGCCATTGTCCTTCATCACTCTTACGGCACAGCGCACTTGGCTTAATTTGATAACATTCAGAAATTGCTATTCAAAAATGGACGTAATATCTTTGATTGATGTTTATTTTAATTCTGTTACTGTTTGGTCGTTGTCCCAATTTCCACATATGCCTCAATCTTCTTTCCCTTGAAACAATCGATCCAGATATACCCTCGAGGTGTTTAAATCTTCTTTATTAATGATGTTGTTGAGATTCTTTTTTATTTTAAAAACTCTGATACTTAAACTTTCAAGTTCAAAAGGAAACTGAAAATCAACTACAATATATATTTTTGTATGTTAGTACCTTTCCTGAATTGAAGGGAGTATTATTTTCCTCTACTGGATAATCATTACACAGGTGGGTGTTTACACGGCTAATAATCAGTATTGTCCGAGTTGATCGCCGGTGACCAGGAAACTGAGTTGGTTAGAGCGTCCCCTTAAGGTTCACCGGTACCGGGTTCGATTATGTTGCATTTTCATTTCTGTTTCACACAGATGATAATCGGATAACCAGGGCTATCTTTACGAAATCATTAGACAAGAGTTGGCCTTTATACACGGATAATAAAACCTTACTCATAAAACCGGAATGCTACGTATATTATCGTTTATATAACATTTAAACGAAAATGGTGTTATCGGTTACATTAGCCTGACAGCTAAAATACGGGTGTTATAGATTGGCATGTACTTCAAAAGCAGTAAACATGGAGTTTAACGTGATATAATAAAAGAATTATATATGAGTAAGATTTCCTGTGGAAAGTCGCGTCTTATCGCCTACTGGTAGGCACACATTGCGCCTTTTTAAACAATATAAAGCATACGGAAACTACCAACAAAATTAAACACAATCTCCAGCTCTGAAGTATACAACGAAAATGTAATATCTCAAATATATAAATTGTATAGAAGAATTGGAAACGTAAAATATGGAACTAAGAGAAAGGATAGGACTTTTTATATTGTGGACGGGAGGGGGGGGGGGGGCGAAATATTCTTAGAATAACTGTAAAGTCTTGCATGCATTGGAAAGTCTTAATTATGCTGTATAGCCAGAAGGACATTCTAAAGATACAATGCTTGGCACTATTTGACATTATTTATTGTAGTGTAATCTTAAGTGTAATCTTAATAATTCTGAGTAGTCTTAGAAATGTTGTGTAGTCTCAGAAATGTTGTGTTGTCTTTAAAATGTTGTGTATTCTTAGAAATGTTGTGTTGTCTTAAAAATGTTGTGTTGTCTGAGAAATGTTGTGTTGTCTTAGAAATGTTGTGTTGTCTTAGAAGTGTCTTAGAAATGTTGTGTTGTCTTAGAAATGTTGTGTAGTCTCAGAAATGTTGTGTTGTCTTAAAAATGTTGTGTATTCTTAGAAATGTTGTGTTGTCTTAAAAATGTTGTGTTGTCTGAGAAATGTTGTGTTGTCTTAGAAATGTTGTGTTGTCTTAGAAGTGTCTTAGAAATGTTGTGTAATCTTAGAGATATTGTGTAGTCTTAGATATGTTGTGTTATCTTAGAAATATTGTGTAGTCTCAGGAATGTTGTGTTGTCTTAGAAATGTTGTGTAGTCTCAGGAATGTTGTGTAGTCTTAGAAATATTATGTAGTCTCAGGAATGTTGTGTTGTCTTAAAAATAATGTGTAGTCTTAGAAATGTTGTGTAGTCTCAGTAATGTTTTGTTGTCTAAGATATGTTGTATTGTCTTAGAAATGTTGTGTTGTCTTTGAAATGTTGTGTTGTCTTAAAAATGCTGTGTTCTTTTAGAACGTTATGTTGTCTTAGATATGTTGTGTTGTCTTAGAATGTTGTGTTGTCTTATTTAGAAATATTGAGTAATCATAGCAATGTTGTGTAGTCTCAGGAATGTTGTGTAGTCTTAGAAATATTGTGTAGTCTCAGGAATGTTGTGTTGTCTTAGATATGTTGTATTGTCTTAGAAATGTTGTGTTGTCTTAGAAATGTTGCGTTGTCTTAGAAATGTTGTGTTGTCTTAGAAATGTTGTGTTGTCTTATTTAGAAATATTGTGTATTCTTAGCAATGTTGTGTAGTCTTAGAAATGTTGTGTTGTCTTAGATATGTTGTGTTGTCTTAGAAATGTTGTGAAGTGTTAGAAACGTTGTGTAATCCTAGTGGTGTTGAGATATTGTAAGGTCTAAGATATATTGTGAAACATTTTAAGGGTTTGGTAAAGAGACACACTCTTACCTAATGTAAGACGACCACCATCTTATAGTATGGGGTATTGAGGTAAATCGTGAAATCTTCGAAATGTCAAAATACATTACATAGTGTTGCAGGAGATGTTCTGAATCCCGGTACTGTTAGTACACACAATAAACGGGCGTTCTCGATCAATAACATGCCTTATTCGAAATTCTCTTCTTTCATGCTAGACAAATTTCGTCACACCCAAAAATATGAATGTAGTATCTCAATGATGGAGGAAATCGATTGGAATAACCATTTTGATATTTTATTCTGTCAGATTGGGACAGAAACAATGACGCCTAGCTAGCTGACTCTAGGCAGGCAGCTGTGTGTTACATTAGAGAATCAAATACTGGCCTATATACTGACGGCAGGGGTTCGATTACTGGTGTGACAGACGATTTATCTGAGGTGTTGGCATCTCATGGTGAAAGGGATCTTCGGGGTAGTTTACTAAAATAGTTTCTTGAATAGAACGTTATAAGACATGTACGTGTCACAATTCATATAAAAAACATATATGCACATACCAAGTTGGTCGTTATTTCTAAAAAAGTAATTAACTGGAGAAGAAAATAAACAGAAAGAGCAAATAAGAATGACGCTTCATGCATATTAGCTTTCTGTAAAAGTACACATTGCTTTTTTTTTTTTTTTAATTTAAGTTAAATTACGTAACAAAAAGAGCGTACGGATGCTACTGAGTGTGATATCACTGTGAACGTTCGAGTGGTGTACGCTATGACACTCTAGTGATATCACTGTGAACGTTCGAGTGGTGTACGCTATGACGCTCTAGTGATATCACTGTGAACGTTCGAGTGTTGTACGCTATGACACTCTAGTGATATCACTGTGAACGTTCGAGTGGTGTACGCTATGACGCTCTAGTGATATCACTGTGAACGTTCGAGTGTTGTACGCTATGACACTCTAGTGATATCACTGTGAACGTTCGAGTGGTGTACGCTATGACGCTCTAGTGATATCACTGTGAACGTTCGAGTGGTGTACGCTATGACACTCTAGTGATATCACTGTGAACGTTCGAGTGGTGTACGCTATGACACTCTAGTGATATCACTGTGAACGTTCGAGTGGTGTACGCTATGACACTCTAGTCAACACACCCAGCAGTCCAATGGGAAGTAACAGTTGGGCCCAGTCATATACAGTTTGTATGACGCGCTTCAAATTTCGAATTTATATTGACTATGAATGCCAACCAAAAGCAGATCAATGCTTAATTTACTTCAAGTCAGTGACTTAGCTTATCTTCATTGCTTATTGTCTTGGAAATATTATTAGAAGTCGTATTTGCATTAATAAATGATTTTGTTTCTGAATTCGTTGCCATCCCATAAAAATCTTCGCTTAAGGATATGTTTTGATAATTGTCTTCACTAACTCTTTTAAGCGAACGAGACACAATTTTGTGACGTCATGAACAGTAGTTGTGGGCAGAGTTAATCAAGGTGTAAATTTCAGTCTGTTACTTTTATTGAACTGATCACACGTAAAAATGTTTTGAAAATAAAATGTGTATCGCTGTCCAATTAATGTATAAGATAACTATATAATAATAATAATTCGAGGTCTTATATACCGCTTTATCACAACCATTATGTATGAACCATTCACAGAAAAATACTTTAAATTTCTGTTTTGGTCAGGTTGTCAGGTCCACCTCCAGTAGAGCACAAGTAAATCTATCTTATATCGTTTCGCCATCTATTTACACGACCGCAGCCGGAGATATCACCTCTAAATTATATAACCTGTCCAAAATAAAAAGGTTTTATTTTAATAATTGTCAAGTTTGTGACGAATGTGTTGTCAAAGTAGCATGATATCGGCGTGACCAAACACATGACGTCATCGGTAAATATAACGTCCTTACCACGTAATTCCGGCGTCGATTGAAGAATTATTACCGTTCACATTGGCCGCCCAGTCAAACATCTACATGTTCTGTACGAGCCTCCATGTCCTGTACGAGCCTCCGTGTCCTGTACGAGCCTCCGTGTCCTGTACGAGCCT